GCTATATGGCCCTCTAGGGGAACATAGACAACATCTGGGTGTGAACAATTTTCTGGCTTAGGTCAAGACTAACTGCATTTGCAGGACTCTACATTATGACTCTACACTGATTATGTAAAATTGCTGGAGCCCTTTGAAGGTGGAATCACCAAGTGCTTTCTTCCCCACTTCAGAGAGGTATCACTGTAAAATCTGCTGAGCAAAGTGTATAATGTAAACAATCCAGATGAGTTCTGTTTATCTCCCCTTCTAACTTAGGAAGTCATCCCAGCAGCATCTGTTCTTCACAGGTGGGGCAACTTCCCAGCTCCTTTATATCCTGATATCTGTGCAAGTTCCCTGCAGTTACCTAGTATTTCAATCCGTTAACACTTATCTAACATTAACACTTATTAACACTAATCTGTTAGCCTTCAAAAGTCCCATTCCTCTGGAATTTCTTGTCTTCCTCTATAAAGTGTCTAGATACTTGAGTATGTGCTTGGGACATTTTGGGTATCTAACACTTTTGATCTCTGAAGTACTCTTGCCAGAAGTGCCTGTATTTTATGTCATGAGACTGCCTCAATGAACTGATCTCTCTTTATCTCCTACTGTAAGTAAGTTCCTTATTTAAAAGGCTACATAGAATGTGCAAACTTGTGAATTACATGCAAGGAAGAACGTATTCACGATGTAACTTTCTCTGAAAATATGCAGAGGCCTAGGCACAAAACCTCTGAGTCCAGATGAAGGGAAATGGCTTCCCTTCTTCAGGAAGTCTTCCCTTCTGTCTTCAGGATAGTGTTCTAGCTGAATTGCCTTGGTCTGTTGTAGCACAGAGGAATCTAAAAGTTGGATACAGCATAACTGGTGACATGCTACTTTAGTGCTCATTTAACACAGGACTTCAAAGGAGGCAGCATTTCTATGTTAATATTACAAAGGAGTAAAAGTGCAGTTCAAGGAGATGCCCTGACTGGCCTAAGTTGTGAAGGCTGATGTTTGATGCCACTCTTTTCACTTTATCTTGGGACTGTGAAAACATGTGGAGCAAATACAAATTTACAAGTGTTGTATTATTTTTCTAGAGGGTCAACAGAGCTACTCTCTGGTACAGTAACAGGTCAAGGACAGATTTTTGAAGGATACTAGTAGAAACACTGACTTGAATATGATCAAAGATACCTTTTGAATCCAATTTAAAGGAAGTTTTCTTAAAAGAATACTTACAAACACGTGGGAAAATGAGGTGAAGGATAGGGAACTTAAGACAAAAGGGATTTACTTTAAATTTTTTTTTTTTTTTTTTTTTTTTAATTTTTGGTATAGGGAAGGGAAGGGGTTGCACAGTCCTACTGGTGCTCTTGTGAGTAGCTGTTTTTCAGAGCTGAGGAGGAACTGGGAGCTGATTATGACCTGCGTGGAGCTGACATGCACTATTCTGGAGTGTAAACATCATGCTTCTGCTATGAATCATTTTTAACTTGGAAAAAAAAAACCAAAACAAAAACAAACTGGAACTATTTTTCTAGCAGTACACTTTGTGCTCAGAAAACTGGAGAGCTGCGCTTGCTAACGTTTCTGGCAAGAAAAGTTGTCTCCAAATATGAACCAGCAGTCCAATGCAAAACAAAAGTTGGACTTTTGGTTCCAGGCTGTTCTGAAAAAGTTACCTATTGCAGTGGGGCAGGGGCACCCATCATTAAACTAATCCTTCATAATTGCATTGATTTTCATGAGGTTATTACTAAAGCTGTTTGGGAAACTGTTATTATCTCAGGCCATCAAAGTCATTTCAGATATTGGACTTTCTTTAAAATGAGCAGAAATAGTCTTTGGGCACTGCAGGCAGAAATTTCTTAATTCACTTTCTAGAAGCCATTCTGATTTAACTTAATGTTTGAAATTCCCAAAGAGGTTTCGGAGTTAAGAGAGCTGGCCTGCTCAGAGATGGAAAGTGCAACTAAAGAAGTGATACTATCCTTATTTAAGGCAACAGCAAATTATTATGGAGAATAAAGGGATTCTACATCTCAGAAAAGATGAAAATTTGAAAAATACAAATGTTTCAAAGAGACTCAGAAAAAAACTAGATGAGCAATAAGAAAAGTGAAAGACGTTGTCTACTGAGTGATGAAAACTTTATTGGTCATTTGAAGGAAAATTTAGAGTCTATTGATAACTTCATGACATTTTCTTTAATGCAAGAGGTATTACTAAGAGATAAAAAAGCAGTGCACAGAAATTAGAACGTAGTTCAGGAGCTAAAAGGTAAATCCAGGTTGCAAAGAAGATGCAATTTCTAACAACATGAGTAATGAACCATTCATGAGTAGTCGGTTTGGGACAATTCTAACACATGTAGTTTTTCTGCATCTTTGGGTATCCTTAGGTTGTACTTAAAAGAGCCATCCGAAATGCTTCTCCCTGTGCCAATGATTTTCTGGACATTCCAGGCCAAAAGGCAAACAGAAACACATGCTTTATGACATGAAACAAGTGTCTCCTCACTTTGACCCATTCTTGAGCAAGATTTACAAGTATTTGTTAATATAGTTGTGCTAGCAAGTATGTGGTAATAGTCCTTTTTTATCCTCTTCCTGATAAAGCTGTAAAGGGGAATTTAGTTTTAGCGTTGTATCTCATGCAGACCTGGTATTTCTGTCTAATGCTGTGAAGAGTTTTGAGTGGTGAATAATGTTCGGACTGACTAGATACACACCAGAGAGTTCATCTGCTGTGCGTCCTGAACTGATTTTGGCTTTCTTCTGCTTGTCTGGGTGAGTCTTGTGGGCAAATTCCAAGGAGTCAAAGAAGGCAAAATTTGACTCGAAATGATGAGAACAGTAAGACCAGAGAAAGGACACAGTCAAGGCTGTCTTTTCCCCAAAACAGAGCAGGGAGAATTAACACGTGTTGTAAAAGATACTAAATCTTTCAGTTCTTCAAAGGCTTAGGCAGTACTTCAGTCTATATTGTGTCTATTAAAGAGAAACCCCAGTGCTATAAGATTTCTTTTTAAATACCAGGATAGGCACCTCTGCAGCTAAGCAAAGAAAAATGCTTCGTTTTCAATTTTAAAATCCACATGTAGGTAAAGATGTATACAGTGTAATTCCTATGCATCGACTTAGCACTATCTGGAAGAACTGTAGATGAGCATACAAAGTTCAGCAAAGTCTAAAAACTCCATGTCAAGGAATATCAAGGCTTGGGCCCAGTCTATGTTACTTGGTTTCCTAAAGCTGCTGGAGGTGCTCATGGCTTTGTTCTGCTTTGGACAGAAATGCTGGCAATGTTGATTATCTGAAGGGTAGGAGTATATCTTATTTTAACTTCCATTTCCTTTGCAGTTTTCAGGGTTAAAAAATAACTTGGGCAGACTTGTCTCTGTTGATTCACACATAGTTATTCTCAACATAAATGGCAGGGATTAGAATAAAAATGTTACAGGATAAAAGTACCTGGTGTAGAAACTCCCTACTTACTGGTCAGAGTTAAAGGAGGCAACAGAAGGGCCAAAATAGTTTTGACTTTGCCAGTGTGTTACAGACATATCCTTCTGGGAACAATCTAAGAGAAAATCCTAGGAAAATATGCAGTTTTCATCTGCAGCCACTCATGTAATTTGGGACTCAGCTGACTGTGTGTTACAAAATTGAAAGCTAGCTTAGTTATTTGCTTCCTGACCTTCTTTGGTTTCACTTTTTTTGTCATCTTCTCCTTCAAATGTGTCTTAATTGTATTTCAAATTGGTAGCAATGGTGATACAGGCTTTTTGTATGGCCACAATTGCTTTAAGGCAAAGGTAATAGGCTGCTCCCCCTTAGAGCTGTGCAGCTTCCCTCAGCAGTGTGATTAAAGATCATGACATCATAGGATTTTAAGCATTTAATGAATAATTGCCATGACTTATGCATGAAAGCAGTTCAGAGGGATGGAAGCTTTGGATATAGAACCTCCATATGGGGAAAAAAAAGGCTGTGTTCTAAGGTACCCAGGTTATTGATTAGTTTTTCTGCATGCCACAGTGATGTTTTCTTGATTTGAACATCTCTCTCATGCAAAGATGAAGAAAACATACTTCAATCTGAAACATAAAAAGCTTTCATTGTGAAGTTATCAGGAATTAACAGTACTGATTAAAATGAAATAGTTGTTATTAATGCTGCCGAATTCTCAGGAACTAATACAATTAAACCTGAACCTTTAGGTCTTTTTTGGCGGTCATTAAGAGCAGCATAAAATTGCTTTTAATTGTGCGAATGCATGCTGACACAGGACACATAAGTTGCTTAATGTTGAGCTAAAAAGTTATTTAGATAATGTCTTACATGTTTTCTTCTTTTTTTTTGGCTTATGGAGGAGCTGTTTATTATTTCAAAATGTCTTGGCCCTAGTCCATTTGCAAGACCTCATTTATTCTTTTGAAATTTGTAGCTTTCATAAGCTTGGCATCTGCAATATCACAGACAATGAATTACTGTGGCTAGAAGTCTCTGGAATTAAAAAAAACCCCTCCTCTGTAAGAATATTTCTTTTTAAGTCTTTTTTTTTTTTTTTTTAACAGAAATAGAATTTGTTCTGAGCAAACACAGTTGGCAAAAAAAAAAAAAAAAGTTTGCAAAGATAACAGATTTTTCCTTTTTTTCTTCCTCTAAGTTACAAGGGAGTACTGATGCTGAGACTTGCTCTTTAAATAAATGGAATCTTTCTCTCCTCTCTTGGCAACGTCGGTAGTATTCTTGTGCTGTATGACAAGGCTAGCTAGTGCTATATTTGTCTTGTAGCTGTACACAGATTTGCAAGAGGTCCTTCACTAAGAGAAAGGCAAAGAGCCAAGGAGTTTAAAGAAAGTTTGTTTTACCATAGTCTGAACTTCGAGGTTTGGCTTAAAGACAAAGCTACATACTTTTGGAAGAGCAGGGAATATCGTTACTGATAGGAAATCGCAACTTTCCTGAGCTGTCTCTGGAAAGATCAGGGCTTTGCAAAGAAGGTGAAAAGGCATTAAAAGAATGGAGTGCAATAAGCGTGTGGGTGCATCAGCAGAAGAGGAGAAGAGAAGGCCAGAGGGTGAGGAAGATAATACTAGAGATGCTGGCACTAGCGTTGTCAGTGAAGAGCTGGATTTGGTACAAAGGTATCTTACCTGCTTGCCTGAAAGATACAGGGAAGCAAAATTCGCCTTGGCTGCGTATCTCACCTGCTGGCTAGTGATGAAACTCTGCAAGGTAAGAGATTTTAGTACCAATATGTGAGATTTTTACGTAACTTAACATTTACTTAAAAGGCAAGTTGAGATTTTTTTAATTTAACTTCCTATTTGCTTAAGAAACAAATTGATTCAAGTTGCTACTGGAATATTTGACAGTCTTTTAAAAAAATTAAAAGTTTTTTATTGTACAGTTATCATAATGGTTTATTAGTAAAAGGAGCTTTGTAAATATTGACACTGTACCCAGAAACAGGCGATCCATAAAAAAACATGTAAGGACTACTAATGGAGTATTCAACAAAGCAGAGCACAAGCAGTTGCTTGTCAGCTTTTCTGTATCTCCTGTTACATAGCTGCAAGGCACTTGAGATATTTTTTGGGTTAACTTTTAAGTGAAGTTTCTTATAGTGCTCTTTGCTTACATTCATATCTTGTGTTGGATAAGGAACAGAATGTATTTCAGTCCTAAAAATGTCAACATTATAAAAATGAAAAGTAGTTTATTTGGAGTGTTTTGTCAAATGCAATAGGGAATTAGTGTTTAGGTTCTTGTTTAGGCTGTTTTAAATGCAATCTGTGCATCAGATACAGAAAAAAGGCATTGGACATGTTATTACCGTTATAATTTGTTCCATTTCACCTTTGCAGAAAGCTGCTTTAAAATTTAGGCCCATGTCTAGATCCATGGAAGAATCATTGAGTTCTGTACAAGTGATAGGTTAAGGTTCAACAGTTAAGGACTGAGACATTTGAACTTAAAATCGTGGAAATGATATGTGTAGAAATACTGTTTTAATTAAATTTAATTGTATAATAAGTTTGCCTTTCTACTGCTGGATCCACGATTTACTGTTGTAGGCATTTAGTGGATGGGCACATCATCCCTTGCGCCAAAGGAAACACTGAGGCAGTATTTATGGGCTATTTTTAATAAGATATGTGGCAGATTGGAAACAAAGGATGATGTGGAGATCACACCTGTGGGGCCAGATGGTGCCTCACAGCAGCAGTGCCTCGCTTTCAGACATCCCTACACCTGCAGCAGTCAGTTTTTGCCAACACAGCTATGCAGGTGTGGGCTGAACTGTACCTGGAGTTTCTTCTTAGTAAAATAATAAGCTCTAGTTTACATAGCTCTGTGGGTCAGATAAAAAAAAAAAAGGAATGGGACGTGAAACTGTGGTCTCATCTCCCTCCACTCTGGTCCTTCTGGTGGGGAGTGTAGTCCCAAGATTTGTTGGTTTAAAGTTTAGGAGATGGAAAACTCTTTTTTCCTTCTCTTCATGACTGGTTTTGCAGAAAGAGTGGAAAAACTCAGTGACAATCCCCCTCACTGGCCAAAGGCAATATTGTATTTTGCTTTCATTCAGATGCCGGGGAGATAATACTCTGAGTGATAATATTCTTCTCCACTAGTTGACAGCAGTGTGTCAGTCTGGCAGGCGCCGTTTCTGGTGAGAGCTGATTAGGGACCTGATGAACTTCTCCAGCACTCATTTTCCATATGGGCAGTAGTGCTTTAGTCTCCCACATGACTGTATCAGAGCTTTGGTGCCACCTGTATCCCGTGTTTGCAGTGCCAGTGTTCTGGGCTACAGGTAGAGGATTCATCATGTGATGCCAGTTTCTTGCACACAGATACTTCCCTCATACAACTTACTCTTGCAATCTTTCTGCTTGCTTGCTGCAGAGATTCCTGTGCAAGGTTGACTGAAAGTGGTAGAAATCACTCACTTACCTTGGGGAAGTAAGTGGCCCTGGGGCAGATAAGCACGATAGGGCCACCATGTGGGGCAGACTGGGATGCCAAGAGTCCCAGCTGCCGTGGTAGAGGCTGATCCAGGGTGGGCAAGGTTGCCCCTTGGCTACTTCCTATTTGACTGAGTTGGTTTTGCTGTGGTTTGATCAATTTACAAACAGCCAGGTGAGTTTGTAGTCTCTAAGAGCAATTCCTCTGACAGAGTGTGAGCAGAGCTCGTGGGCGTTTGTCCAGCAGTTGATCTGGGTGTGTGCAAAAGCTCGAATACCTTAGCCTGCCTGCCAGACTTTGTGTGCATTACTCACTGTGTGTGCAGGCAACTGAGTGGCATGCACACAGTAGTCTTGTGCACACATGTTATTCTTTAGGGAAAAGGTTTTTAGACCGGACAGGTGGCAAACAAAATGTGTGGGTTTAAATTATGGAGAGAAACTTCAGCTTGACCTGGGAAATCTCAGTACCAAACAGGGAAAAGAGAGCTTACAGTGTATAACAGAGGAGATTCTAATGCCCCCTCACCTCCCTTAGCCAGGTAAGCCTGTACCTACAATGAGTTCTCCATATGGACTAACCATAAGTTACAAAGTGCCATTCTGTGCTTATGAATGAAGTGTGGTTGCATGGTTGCTCCTTTTCTGACCAAATATTATTTCTTAAATAAGAGGAGGTTTTATGAAAATACGTAGATTAGGGGTGGTGCTGTTGTCTGTATTTGCTCACTCACAGCGTTGCGCTTGCACAGCGCATGTAAATCTTTCAGTCAGAAAGGATCGATTCAAAGCGGAGAATGAAGAGAGGTAACGTAATTTCTGTTAAAACCACTCATTTCCTCAGAATATTCTTTAGAGCACCTTTCATTGCCCTGGCCAAGCTGAGAGGATAACTAAACATCTTTACGGCAGCAACATCTAATTTATTAATGCTTCTCTCCTGCTGATTTTTGCTCAGTTTTCTTAAAGTCTGTTCAGATTTGAGATTTTTCTTACTTCCTGACGTTCTTCAATGACTTCAGTTTCTTCCAAGTCCCGGTTCATTCCCAGAGTGTTAATTTTTTCTCCTTCCCCCTCACAAGAACAAAAGCTGCACAGTGTTGCCTTTTCGCAGGTTCTACAGCCTGGCGCGACCCAGCAGAACTGTCCCAGTGGGAGGCAAGGAGCCTGGCAGTGCTCTTGTACTGTGTAGTACAGAGGCACCTTTGTTACGTCCCACATCCTTCCTGGGACATCCAAACCCTAGATAAGGCTCTGGGTGCTGACAACTCAGAAAATAACAGGGGCTTCCTAGGGCACGCTAAGCCTTATCAGTGCTACCTGACAGAATGGTGGGACTCTCCTCTTAGTGCTAACAGGTTTTACTTTTGGTTTTGTAGTCTTGAATTGTAATGAAACCCCATGAATTTATAAGGTTGGGTTGAAACAGAAAGATCTCTGACTTGGGCAGTGCTTCCCTGACATGTTATAACTATTGCCATTCACACACAAGTGGCCTTGGATTATTTTGAAACAAAAAGTCTCGTGTGTAGCTGCATGAGAGTACGTACCAATGAATATGTGTTTTCTCACCAGCTTTGCACAGTCAGAGCCTCTCCTTATTCTTCCCATCATAAATGATCCCTTCATTTTCCTTTTCTTAGCTGCTTACCAGTGTCTTGTCCAAGGTACTTGGTAAGAATGAACCAAACAGGAATTGCTTTAGACACAGGTGAATAAATTAGTGCAGTCTCCTGTGAGCAAATTAGGGTGTTTGAGAATGATCAGTATTATTTAAACTGATTCCTTCCCAACTTAAATTGAATGAAGTAGTAAAATGGTTCTGAAGCACTTAGAAACGGGTAGACAAAGGAGGAGGTGGACATCAAGTCCTGCACTGGCTTGATGGTTCACCAACTTTCCCAAACCCACAGGAGCTCGCTGGTTACGCTTGCATGAAAGAGAATATGCCATTAAAAATGAAAATAAAAACAGGCTTTGATTCAGATTGTAAGTTTTTTTTTTTTTTTTTAATTTGATTCTATGAGTTAGTAATTTACAATAATTCAGTAACATCCAGGAACTTTAAGTGTCAAGAACAATTGGTTTATGCATATGATTTCCCTGGTACCTGAGTATTTCTCTCACCTCACCTGGCTGAGAACACTTACCAATTGTGTGTCTTAAGCACCAAAAAGCTGACTCTGGAAAACCCAAGGTGATGATGCTGTCTGTTTTATGGAAGCCCACTGAAGGTGACTGTTAAGTTTCACTCATCAGCGTGAAAGCAAGATTTTGGTGAAAGCCAAGTGATTTTGAGAGCTACTTGACAGAACTCAGAAGGAAATTGTTCTGGGAGCCCTAAGCATTCCCCCTCCTCAGAACTGCCTTAAAGCACTATTTGGTGTTCGCTGATCTGGTAAAGCTAATATTTACTTCAAATTGATAAGCTGCTGCAGTGGACGATCTGGTTATTCACTCTTAAATCCTAGAGCCTCATTTGATTCACTTTCCTTTAAATCATGCCCAAATTTCTGGGACTTGCTTGAGCCAGAAATATTAATGCTGGTGTTTTATATTTCAGTAGTCACTACAGTACTGGATAGGATCAAGCGCTGTAGAAAGTCAAAGGAATGAAAATGTAAAACAGCAGAGGGGAAGCAGGAATTTATTGAACCTGACAGCGGACTTGGTTAAGCTTGGTTTCCCATTTCTGGGCAGAGAGACAATTCTTTATGAGCAGTGTGAATCATTCTGTCTGTGCCTGGCAGTTTTACTTCCTCCTTCTTCCTCTTGAAAATACAAGAGAATTGAAAATTGCCCAGTCTCCTTAGTGTTCATCAAGTCATATCCTGGGTTCGATTCTGAGCTACCACAAGTGTGCTTACTGCTACAACAAGTGTGCAGGCCTCAAAGTCTGATGCACCCAACAGTTACGAAGCTGCCTTTGTAAAGCTCAGGGAATAATCCCTGGAAATGCTAACCACATCTCATATTTACTACCTGTTTCTCGAGCATTGCTGCATTTCATTTATGAGGATGATAACGTATCTTCATGTTCACTGGTACTTGTCTGTGAAATTGTCTTTCGCAGATGCTGTTAATTGGAGATGTATTATTTTCTGTATGTTACTAGTTTAAGCCCAGTTCCTGCATTAAATCTACCTATGGAAACTCCTGCAGGGCTGTAATTTGTGAATTGCTAGAACTTTGTTGCTAAACTGTGTCTTTATAATTAGGTTAAAAAAAATACTAAAAAAATGGATGACTAACAGAGTACTTAGTTTG